GAGAGGGAGAGAGAGAGAGGGAGAGAGAGGGAGAGAGAGGGAGAGAGAGGGAGAGAGAGGGAGAGAGAGGGAGAGAGAAGAGCCCGCCGGTGAGGAAAGAATTGGTGGGGAAAGTCAGAAGGCCGGGGGCGGGAGCAGCGAAGAAAGCAACAAGAGAGGCGGAGCAAGCGGAGGAGATAGCCGGGAACATACCTGAAGAAGACCGTGACTGAGACGGAAAAGGATCCCATGCTCGGTTCGCGACCATTTGCCCACCATCGGCAGATCGGCCGCCTGGGCTTGAGGAGCGAAGCCCGGTGCGTAGACCCCGGCCCCGGCGACCGGCGTCGATGAGGTGCCAATCTGATCGCGCAGGCAGTCCTCCATGTATCCATGAAAGTAGTTGAGGATGTGCGTCTTCTTGGCGAGTGGCTCGGGAACCGTGTCGCAAGGGAAGTGCCGGCGCTCCTGGGTGGTATGGTCCAGATAGACATTCCGCCGGAGGTCATCGCTTCGGAGGAGAGAAGTGTGATCATTGAACAGGACCCCGGTGACGCTGTTGGACAGCCGATACCCGAGCCCATACTTGCCGGAGTAGTCGATCCACTTGACCACCCACGGTTGGGGGATGATGGCGGACGAGGGGGAGAACCGCTGGTGCACGCGATCGGACTGGGCGAGAATGAGTTGCACCTGGCGCAACATGATTTGGTAGAGATCCACCCAGAGAACCGGCTTGACCGGGGAGGGGGCGCCGGCGCCGGCGCCGGCGCCGGCGCCGACGGCAGGGGCAACCGCAGTGGCGACGGTCAAGCCGCCGGCGGCGGAGGCAGGAGTGGTGCCGGTGGCCGGGCCCGAGCGGTCAACGCCCCGGAGGGAAGCCTTGGCCACACCGGCGCTCCGAGAGATGGAGGCACGCAGGGAGGAAGTGGCCCCCGGCCGGGAGCCTGCTCGGGCCGCCGCCACGGCAGCTGCTGCCGCGGCCGACGGCGATGGCGAGCCACGCGAATCCTCGGCAACCGGAGACCGAGACGACCCGAGGAGCAGCCCCGGGCTGCTGACCAGCAGCGGCGAGTAGGACCCCAGCAGGCAGCCCTGGGAGGTGGCATGGGTCGTGCCGGCGGCGGTGGCCGACATCCCGGACCCGGGGGAACGGGCCTGCTGGGCGGCCAGGGCCAGCTGCAGGGGTGACAGGATGCCGGCCGAGGAGGGGGGGCTTCCGGCCGACCGGACCAGCGGCGTGGCCAGCGCACCGGAAGGGGGCTTGGCCGGGGTGACAGCCGCGGCGCCGGTTGACACCGGGGTCATCGGCATGCCGACACCGCCGGCGGTGCCGGCTTGGCCGCCAACCGGAAGAAGCGGCGTCCGAACGTCGCCCGGGGTGCCACGCCCACTGGCAGCCGAGGCATCCGTTCCCTCGGCCAAGAGACGCTTGGAGGCAGCCACGGCGGCGGGCAGGGCGGCGGGGGAGGCCGTCGCGCCGGCGGCCGAAGAACTCGCGGAGGACAGCGGAGCCGTCAGGCTCGAGCGCAGGGCGGAGGAGGGCCGCGCGGCGGACCCCGGCGTGATGGCCAGCGGGAAATTCTGCGCAGCAGGGGATGCCGGCTGGCTGGCGGCCGTGGCCGGGGCCGCCGGCGTGGCACGGGTCGTCGCCATCGGGCCCTCGCCCGAGTGGTAATAGTACCCACCCGCCGGCGTGGGAAGCCCAGCTGGAACCAAGAGGGCCCCGGCCCCGGGGTGCCCGTGCTGGTGGTGGGCGGCCAGTCGCGCACGCAGGAGCCCATCATCCGGTCGGAGTGGATGCGGATAGCGACGCATGAGCGGGTGGTCGCGGATTTCCTGGATGCTCGGCCGTTCATCGGGGTTGGTCTTGAGGATGGCTCGGATGAGGTCCATGGCGGCGTTGGACAGTTGCATCGGCGGGAATTCGTAGTCATTGTTGCGAATGCGCTGGTACGTGAGCTCCACGCTCCGGGTGACAAACGGCGGCCGGCCCACCAGCAGCGTATACAGGATGACTCCGAAGGACCAGATGTCCACCTCGAAGCTGTGGCCATTTGGGTTGCCAACAGGTGCCGGGGGCAGGCCGCCGGCAGCTTGCTTTGTGCCATCAGACGTGGCCCCGGGCAGGGGGCCAGTGCCAAGGACCTCGGGGGCGATGTAATTCGGCGTGCCGCACAGGGTTCTAAGTTGACCCCAAGAGGAGATACCGAGAAGGAGAGGATGAGTGGATGGGTGAGTGTGGAAAAAGGAGGGGCAGGAGAGAGGAGCAGGAGAGAGGGGCAGGAGAGAGAGAGAGAGAGAGAGAGACTGAAGCACAGGAGGAGAGCACAGGGAGATGCAAAAGCGGACAGGTGCCGGCAGAGCCGGGAAAAACAAGTGGAGCCATGCGGCCAGCGACAATACGCACAGCTTTCGGTCCCCATCGAACTTGATGCGCGTGGCCAGGCCGAAATCCCCGATCTTGATGGACGAGTCGGCGGCCAAGAAGAGGTTGCCCAGCTTCAGATCGCGATGGATGACTTTTGCCCGGTGAAGGTACTCGATGGCGTCCAAAATTTGGTGGAGCAGCGGCACACATTCCTCCTCGCCAAAGCGCCGCTTCTTGCGAAGGAGATCAAGCAGGGACTGGGATGACATGTCAGCCGAACGACCAGGTAAGCAGGCGGCCAGCCAGCCAAGTGAAGAGAAGTGCACGTACTCGACCGGTGCAAAGCTCCAACAGGAGATACACATTCGTCTGGTCGTCGAAGACCGAATCAAACTGCACGATGTTGGGATGCCGCAGATCCCGGTGAATGGAGATCTCCATTTTCAGCTGAAGCACGAAGCGGAGCAGTGGAAGCTGTGTCAGGGCGGGGCAGGATGCATCGACAAAAGCGAACACAAACACACTCAGGGGGGCACAAGGGGAGGGGGGGGAGGGGGAGGCGGGGAAAGAAAAAACAATGGGGCAGCACGAACCTTGTGCTTGGTGCGTGGCTTCAGGAGGGTCGATCGCTCGACGATCTTGGCCGCAAAGGACCGGCCCAGCAGGTATCCGCTGGAGTGAGTGATTGGAGCATGTCCCACGGCCTCGGCCACTTGGTCATAGTGTGCGGGGTCGTGGAGTTCGGTCACTTGGTAGACTCGCGCGAAGCCGCCCTGGGGAGGGGGGGGGGAGGGGCGAGGCGAGAGGGGCAAACGGGGAAGGCGTGGGGGGATGCGTGGCATCATGGGTGAGTAAGATCGTCATCAAGCGTCCCGGGGGAGCAGCGAAGGACAATGCATGGGCAGGCACGGCCACATGGGGGGGAGGGGGTCGGGGCCAGAGATGGCACCAGTCAAAGACGCACCTCGCCCAGGAAGTCACCAAGGACAAAGCGGCGGTGGGTGAAGGTATCGGTGATGATGCGACCGGCGAGTACCGGCGGCGGCGGCCGGGAGGGAGCCGAGTCCGATGGGGCGGCAGTGGCTGCGGAGGTCGACGCCGGCACCGGTGCCGGAGCTGGGGCGGCGGTGAGTGGGCTACTTGACGAAGCCAAGGCCATAGCCGGGGTCGGAGTGGCGGGCACACCCGACGGCATGGTCATCCCCGGGGATGCCTGGTGGTGATGGTGCTGGTGGTGCTGGTGGTAGGCGTGGGGATGGTGCTGGTGCTGGTGCTGGTGAGGGTGATGTTGGTGGGGGTGGTGGGGGTACGGATCGCCAGGATGGGCTGCGACAGCCTCCAGGCTGGGCCGGTCGCCGGGCAGCGGGAGATCATACTGAACCATGGACGAAGAGGGGGAGTCCACCAACGGAAGAGGCCGGCACCCGACCGGGATTACCCGGGTCTAGCTCCTGTTCGCGCTTGGGGCAGGGGGTGGTGGGGGAGGAGGAGGAGGAGGAGGAGGAGGAGGAGGAGGAGGAGTGGCGAAGGAGGGCAGGAGAAAAGGGAAGACCAGAGGGGAAGGGACGGAGTGGAGGAGAAGGGGGAGAAGGGTGGGGGCAAGAAGAAGAGGAGCAAGAGGGGGAACGGAAGGCAAGAGGAAGGGGCGAGGAGATCCCGGTGACAAGTGGTGGCCTGGGCGGTGGTGTGAACGGCGAACGAGCAGGAAGAGGGACAAGCGACGACGCGGTCCGGGCGGGAGTGGATGTCGGCCAGGGAAGTGCGAGGAGGTCTCATGGCTGTGAGAGGAGCAAGCTACCGGGGTGAAGGCCGAAAAGTGCCGGGCAAGTGGGCAGACATCGGCTCGGGTCCACGGGCCGCGCTGTCTCGGCCGCCTTCCCTCCCTCCGAGAGTGTGTGGCTCCCGGCGCAGCGGCATGGCACGGGAACCAACGCGATCCGGCCGGAGTAGCCTCTGCCATGTACCGGCGACTAGAGGCACACCACGCCCGGTCGTGCGGACCACCGAAGGAGGCGGGCTCGGACTAGGAGCCTGCCCGGGGCGGGGAGGGGCTCCCAGATCGGACTAGTGTGCTGCGAGCAATCGGACCGTGCTGTGGAGGCGCGGGCCGGAGGACTAGGGCTGCCACAGATCGGTCAGCCATCTGGCGCCCATGGGCGCCTTTTCGGCCGATCCCCCAGGCGCAGCGGGCGGGGGGGGGGGGGGGGGGGGATTTACCCCCCTCCCTCAGACACGCTCACACACACTCACACAGACGCGCACACACGCACACCAGGGCAAAGCGAGGGGACCGCGAGGCACGCCCCTTGCCCCCCGCCCCCGGCCCCCCGTCCCCCCCCCCCCCCCTGCACTTGTGGGTATTCCGTCTCCCCGGGGAAGACCGTTACACCGGGCGCTGGCCGCCGGTACAACAAGGGAAGGGGGCGGCTAGGTGGCGCTCGGGTGGCTGTTCACGAAACGAGAACACAGAGACCGGTGAACCGCGGCGGCAACGGCCCCACCAGGATGTCCCCTGCCATGCCGGCCCCCTCGGCCGTGGTGTAATTAAATGCAGCGCCCGTGCCCGGAAGAGGCCGAGCGAGGGTGCACAACCCCTTCATCCCCAGGCATGATGGGCTGCCTTGCTGGAGGCCTGCATTGGGTCATCGCGTAAACCGAGGGCAACGAACTCAAGAAGGGCAGGGAGCATTTGGCCCCGCTGCCCCTCGGGACAGGGCCCATCGCAGAAGGAGGGTGGGTCCGGAGACCATTGTTTGCCTGGGGGGATGGGGGCCAACGTGCAAGGACGCACACACATACACGCGCATGTGTTCTCGTACCCGCGTGTGAGTGTGTGTGTGTGTGTCTATCTTGGTGAGTGTGGGCGTGTGTGATGGCGAATGCCCAGGCCCAGGGTGGCTGGGCAGGCGAGACGGATGGGCTGGTCGACTATGTCGGCGGCCTTCCCCCCCCCCCGAAAGGATGCCATCTCAGCTGTGGGCCGAGCCACCCTCCCGCGACGAGAAGACCCTTTGATCTGGTGGACGCCATGCCTGGGTGCATCAAGGGGTGACGAGGCCTCCATGAAAGCGAAGGATCAAGCGCACAGCCCGAAAGAGAGCCGACAAACGAGAGAGAGAGAGAGAGGCACAGAGGGAACGGCTATGCAAGAGAAAGAATGCGGCCCCCGGACATGCCTCCACCGGGGCCCAGTTGGGCGGGCGGAATGCCACTTGGACCGGTGAACGCGCGCCTCCGTTCTCCCGTTCCGCCCCCCCCCCCCCCCGGGGAGCGGGGCGGGGACGCCCCAGGTGGGCGGGCTCGGACTGGCCACTTTCCCGCCCATCTCGTCGGCTACGACAACCGGACCGGGGGCGGAGGGCACGGGGGCAACGGACAAGGGAGAAAGGGGGTTGGCAGCGCGGCCGTGACTAGGCGCCGACGAGTGTTTGCTTGTGTACAGGCAGGCATACACGAGTTCACATACACACACACACACATCCATACACGCACGCACGCACGCACGCACTCATCCACACGGGCCACAATGATGCGTGGAGATCTCCAGACCCCGATCCCCCATGCTTCCTC